TAAGAGCAAAATCACTAAGACATGGAGGCATAAACATGTTAATAAACTTAGATATAAAATATAAAAATAAGACAATTTGACAAGTCAACTAGAGTCAGTTTATATTTGTGCCATATTGATCCCCTCCCCCCAAACTGTACAAATAGAGAATTTCTAAGAATGTTATATAAAACCCATTTGAATCTTGGGTATTCCTTGATGACAGTTTGACTTCAGTGGTGGCAGGAGGAATAGGATTTCAGTTGAATTGTTTTCTCCCTTGTTTTTTTCCTAATAAATTCATGGTGTGAATTCCTGTCCACAACTGTGTAGAATTAGGATATTGACAGCATATTGGAAACATGTCATCATTTACTCTAATGTGTGTAATCTACACTTAGATTCAGTGTAACTCAAATGAATAGAAGATTTAATTTACCCTTAAAATATGCTGTTTATAACAAATAAACAAAACTCAGAAAAAGGGATCAGATTTGTCCTTACCAAGGGAAGGGGGAAGGGGGTGTTAGAAGAAGGTGGTCAAAAGGCACAAACTTCCAGTTATAAAATAAATAAGCACTAAGGGTGTAATGTACAACATGATGACTGTAGCAAACACTGCTGTATGATACACATGGAAGTTGTTATGAGAGTAAATCCTAGGAGTTTTCATCACAAGGAAACCATTTTTTCCCTTTATTGTTTTCTTTCTGTTTTATCTATGAAAAGATAGATGTTAGCTGAACCTATTGTGGTAATCATTTAACAATATATGTAAATCAGACCATCATGCTGTATGCCTTATACTTACATAGTGAAGTATGTCAATTATGTCTCAATAGAACTGGAAAAAACAAAGAATCTAAGCAGATGTACACATCTTTCTTAGAAGAGAGGCAACATGTAAAAATGTTATTGAAACATTTGAGTTAATGACAGGCTGGATAATTCATTATTTTAAGATTATATAAAATAAATAAAAGCTTTAGTATTCATGATCTTCTTTTACTGTTCTAACTCTACATCTTTTTTCTTTCTTTTCTTTTCGTTTCTTTCTTTTTTTTTTTTTTTTTTTCTTGCTCAAGACTTGTGTGGGGGACCTGTTAGTAATCGTGAATTTTCATATTATTATATGACACTATTGTGACTCACTTCATCCTTTTTAGTGGAAAAGGGAACAAGTAAAAGAAGTATTGGATATACGCATCTTGTCAGAAGTACTAAAGGAAATATTTATGCAAATAAATTTAGAAAGACACAAGTAACTGCAGAGACATGGAGAGATATGCAAATATCACCATAGGATGGGGGTTGTGATGCTGTGTTCAGATTGCTGACAGTTACTACAACTTCCATAATGCTTATTGCAGGTGGAATTCTTGAGGGCTTTCTGACCCTGGTGAACTGGTGGGCTATTTTGAGAAAGATACGGTGTGAACTATGGACTTTTATAGTCTGAAGATGGTTTTGTTAAGTGGTTGCTAAATGAACACATGACTTGCGATGTTGGATATAGAAATGGGAGGCATTGTCTTTTTTCCCTGGAGAAAGCAATGAAGTAAAGACACTGAGGCAGAGAGAGAGAGCACACATTTACCCCTAAATACTGGGTTGAAGTGCTGACTTGGGTTCAAGTTATATGTCCCATAGAGGAGGATCTGGGAGGAGCTGTAGAAAGGGTTGCTGAGCACTGAAGAAACCTGGAATATCAGTATATGTACTGTTGGATTTCATTTGAAGGTATCAAGAATAAAGGACTAAAATGGAAAAACAAATCAACCACTCATAATTTATGTATCAAATAAGTGTGGTTTAGGCACCCTCATGAGCATTGCAGTACACGAATGAAAGACACAGCCCCTGCCTTCAGGGACATTGCATTTTATTTTATTTTTTTTTTTCAACGTTTTTATTTATTTTTGGGACAGAGAGAGACAGAGCATGAATGGGGGAGGGGCAGAGAGAGAGGGAGACACAGAATCAGAAACAGGCTCCAGGCTCCGAGCCATCAGCCCAGAGCCTGACGCGGGGCTCGAACTCACGGACCGCGAGATCGTGACCTGGCTGAAGTCGGACGCTTAACCGACTGCGCCACCCAGGCGCCCCTGACCTTGCATTTTAAAAGAAGGTATAGGACAGTGTGATGAGTGCCGCAGTGGAATAGAAATGTCGGGTACTCTGGCATGCAAAATGTGTTCCCTGACCAGTGAAAATTGCCCATTTTTTGGACCCAGTTTTCCTCACCTTAAGTTTCATTCTTCTTCCTAATTATCATTTTTTAAAAGTAACAACTTTCAGAAATTAAAATAAAAAAACCCTAAGAGATTGTGTAGCTTCTTGCTACTCAGAGGATGGGCCATGGAATATTGACATAGCATCCATTGGAGCTTCCTAGAAAATGCAGAATCTTCCTAATAAGTGGACTATATCCAAGACCTACTGAGTCAGAACCTGCATTTAAGCTATGCTTTCCCTCCCCGTGATTGTTTTTCTCATTAAAGTTGGGGAAATACTAATCTAGTTCCCTTTCTCTCCAATAGGTTTTATAGATGAACAGGATGAAGACAGATGGTGCCCTTAAATGGTAGCAGAGCTGATATTAAAACTCAGCCCATCTGTTTACTGATAGAGTCTCAAATGCCTTTTCTAGTATCTCTGTTTTTTCTTACCTACTCCCCTCCACCTTTTTACTCTTATGTTGGCCTCTGTTGTTTCATATTGTCAGATCTCCAGCTTCTTACCTGTGTCCCTTCCTCTCGGTGTCTTTCTTAGTTCTCTCTCTAAACTTCTCTGTTGAATAAGAGAATGATACAGGCTACCCACACTATATATCAAAAAGAATGAACATTTTTATTCATTCTTGATTTGGGGAAAATTTTTGGACCTTTTTCTCTAATTGCTTTCTACTTGTTCAGAACTTAACTTTGAGATCAGCAGGAATTCGGTGTGTGATAAGAGTGTGATATAATCTGTGATGTTAGAAATAAGAATCTCCTTTCAGATGAATTTATCTTCCTTTCTTTGCTATGTGGATTATCTCATAACAGACACCTTTTGCTCTTTGTTTCAAACACTTGGAAAAACAATGTCTGCCCTCTAGTTTCTAGAAACGAATAGGACACCACAAGCTACTAGGATTTAGGGATTTGTATTAAGTTTTTTTCCTATAGGAAATAAATATCTAAGTGGATAAATATGCCATGTTTTAAGGGGGGACTTTGGCATAGAAAGATATGGTCATAGCAGGATAATATGACAATATTAAAGAAAAGCAGACAATCAGTGATAAGACCATTGTGGCACGATGCCTTCAACAAAAGTCAGCCACTCATCTTTTAAGCCACCCTCTTCATAAGAGGACTGTTTTCTCCTGTCTTGTGTTTTAGTTTATTTTTAACGCTGGAATATGTTTTGATTTGAGTGGCAGAACCATAATTTCCATTAGTAGATAGTAAGCCTCTCCTGTAAACTCTGAAATAAAATCAGTTTTTGTTTTTTCTTGTTTTCATATGTGTTTTTCTTTCAAGTCACTAGCCCATCTTTCTAACAACTCTTATTTCGTAGAAACCATAGTTATTATGTCACTTCCTGACTTGGGAGACTATGTTATTAAACATTGTTCTACTTCCATTTCCTTCCTTTTATCTTATTTTCTATCAATAGTGTATAGAAACAGACTAATTTTAAGTAAGTTATTTTGAAACCTAATTATCTAATCCAGAACTCTTCTGCATATATAGTCTCCGTAAAACTGACATTTTAATGGTGGGATATTGTAATGAGTAATTAAGTTAAATTTATTCAGACTAGATTTTAGGAATGGATTGAAAGACAGGATTTTTTTGTTGTTGCTATTTTAAAAGTACATCCTATTCTTCAGCATGGAACAAGGAAATGTTTTGCATTACCAAGCATAAACTAGACATTAGATTCACAACCTGTAAAATACTGGTTAGCCTTTAGAAATATAAATTTCACTATCTTTTTATAATTTATTAGAATATTAATCTTTGTTAGCCCTGTATTTCATTATCATGCTTCTCTTAGAAATGTTACTTGTGGCAGAGCTCTATTGTAAAATTGATTCAAGGTTGCATATCTGAATATTAAGGACAATTGACTCATTTTAAATGAAATACTTGCACATATGTGAAGTAAATGCTTATAGCTTTAGAGAAGAGCTCATAAGTTGGTTATATTCAATGTCTTGAATATAATGGAAATGTCTTGGATATGGTGATTTCCATTTAAATAAATTAGAGAACTGTAGTCCCCCCTAATTTAATCACACAAATATAACTATACTCTTGTCTTAGTGTCCAAAAATATGCCAGGCAATTGCTTGCATTGCTCCACCTCTTCAGTTTGCTATTTTTTCCTGCTTTGCTTTAGGTAGGGAGGGAGCAGCTTCCAAACTGCTCTGATAAATCTCATATGTTTGATATGAATGACAAGTTTCTCCTTAAAATATTTATTTTCTGGGACGCCTGGGTGGCTCAGTCTGTTAGGCGTCTGACTTTAGCTCAGGTCATGATTCCACGATTCGTGAGTTTGAGCCCCGCATCGTTGCTTTGTGCTGACAGCTCAGAGCCTGGAGCCTGCTTCAGAGTCTGTGTCTCCCTCTTTCTCTGTTCTTCCTCCACTCGCACTCTGTCTCTCAAAAATAATAAATAAACGTTTAAAAAATTTCTTTTCTGTCTATGAAGTCTTTCATTAACTTTTCACCCCCAGCTTGTTCTGTGTTTTTAGCAAGGTTGATTTCTTGTCTTTGTTCTCTAGGTTCTCTATAAAACTTAATGTGTGCCATAGGAGTGAAACATAATTTTCAAAAGCTACTCACAGGAATTGGTCTCATTTCTTTGGTTTTAATGCCATGTATTTTTGTTGTGACTCAGAGAAAAATGACTTGCATTTGGTCAAATTAGGAAAAAAGCTAAGTTGCAATATTATAATTCCTGAGAAATTCATTTCAAAAGAATGTATTGTTTAATGAATTTAATATCACTTTGTTCTTTCTGTAGATAAACGTGTGGAGAACTGGCCTCTGATGCAGTCTCCATGGCCTACACTTTGTATAAGTACTTTTTATCTTTTGTTCGTGTGGCTGGGTCCAAAATGGATGAAGGACCGAGAACCTTTCCAGATGCGCTTAGTACTCATTATCTATAATTTTGGGATGGTTTTGCTTAACCTTTTTATCTTCAGAGAGGTAGGTTTACTAAAGTCACCTTGTAATTCCCCAGGGTTATTGGAAATTAAGAAATTAGAATGTGTAAAACCATCATGTAATATTGTACCCCAAGATAACCGTTAGCTACTCTAAAAGGTAAATTTTGTATTATTGACATTTTTCATGTTTGGATAAGAAAAATATGAAATATACAGAAAGTATGGAACAGTTGTTTTAAAATGGAATTTTGAAGCAGACACACTAGATTCCAAGATAACCCTTATTAACTGTTCTGACACTAAAAGTTATTTAACTTTTCTGAGACTCGTTTTCTCCATCTGTAAAATGGGAATAATACCTGCCTTCTAGGTCAGAAATAAGTGAAATAATTTTTGATAGTGTTGGCACATATTAAATAGTCAGTAAATAGTTGCTGTTGTTTATTTATAATTCTTACTCAGCAGTTTCAGATTTGGTAACAGATTAAAATATGCAGGTGTAAAATACTGATTTCAAGTGAAATCCTATTACATTATGTCATTATATTTTGCGTTGCAACTAAAATGAGTTAACTGTTACACACTGTTAATCATCATGTGCTTTTCTGGTCACCAGCAAATGCTCCCTGACATCCTGGAAAGAAATCCTAAAGGCTAGATTGACACAGGCATTTTTTAAGTTGTAAGAGTGGAAGGATTTTGTTTCCAAAGAGACTCCTTATTAAAAGTCTGTATGAACCCAGAGAATGGGAGTGGTGAGGCTAGGAAAATAAACAGTACTCTCTTTTAAAGAAATCTTTGACAACTTAGCCTATAGAATCTCAACTTCATAACAATTTTTATTTAACTTAGTTAGATACTTTGACCTCATTTGTTAGATAAAAACCACTCTGGAGCAAGAAATCAGTGTCACGCTTAGATCTGAGTCATAGTTAATCAAAAATTCTCTTAATATTATAAAGTAGATAGATTTGAAGCCTCAGTCAATGAGTTACTGGTGATTTTTAATTTAGATTTCAATTTGAGAGTAACTTGACACACAGCAAATTTTAGAAATTCTAATACATTAAATGTTTAATGCATTTGAATTTTTTAGACAATATTGCTTTTTAAAATAATTTGAAAGGTTGCATATTGTATTTAGAGTTTTTAAAATTCTGTATCTACTAAAACTTTACTTTAAATATTATTCCCCTTTTTTTCCAGTTATTCATGGGATCATATAATGCAGGATATAGCTATATTTGCCAGAGTGTGGATTATTCTGATAATGTTCATGAAGTTAGGGTAAGTACATTAAAAATACCATTCGTCAGTAGAAGTGGGTTTAATTTTATAATCTCCACTCTGAAAATGTACTTTTGTAGAGTGGCAAAAGTGGATAGGATTGTGGTGTGTCAGTAAAGCTGTGCGTTTCTTTAAAAGCATATAACTGAAAATATTTTCATGGCCATCATGTCCCATTTGGCTGTGGGAGAGTGCATTTGTTCTGGATTACCAGAATGCAGTACTTAGAAAATTCCATGTTTAGTGTAAAGATGACATTTTGGAGTTTTGTTGGTTCCAGTGAAGAATAGAAACTTATAAAGAGAGTCTAATTCATTTGTTAAGAGCCTGAGGGAAAACAAATGTTTTATAAACTATGTAATGTTTAGTAAATTAAGCATAGCACAATCTGTATAGGCATAAACTCAGTTTTTATTATATTTGCAGAAAAATAAAGCATTGATAATATAATGTTCCCATATTTTACTATCCAGTCACCTTTGACACACAAAAGATTTATAAACAGTTCAGTTATGTACTGTCTTCTTTGTTGTTGGTACATAGGATACATATCAGAGAAAATACTTAATATAAAAAAAGTTGAGTCTAGGTTACTATTATAGTAGGGTTCTTGCAAAATATTTTAAAACATTTACAGAGGTCACCTCTCACTGGATCCTTGGATCCTTAATCTCAGCATGTAACATAATCTTTCTGCACCATCTGGTGTCTTAATTAGAGCCCAGGAAAAGAAAAGACTTATTCATGTAAGTAGGATTATATTTATGACCTAGGAAATATTTGTTACTTTTGTTCATTTGTTTGTTTCAACTCACTACTTTAAAGATTTTACTGCCTAATACTAAATGCTATGATTAGGTATTTACTTTGTTGCACATGTTAAAGTGCCAGACAGACAATAACAGAGACAGGAGCTACCCAAACATACTTGCGAGAATATCTGAAGTTTAATATAGGCTAAGCATGAACATCTGAAATAACCTTTACAAAGTAACTATCTCTGTTTCTCTACCATATTGAAAGACAGTAGTGTGAAGGTGTTTACGTTCAGCAGTTTGGTACTTCAGGTCATCTCCCTATGTAGCAGACTAGAAATTTTCCCTGAACTGTTGCCACTGTGTAGATATAGCCTTGGACCCTTTCTTTCTCATCTCCCCCCGCCCACCTCTCCCCCCCCTTACGGAGAGATGCCTAGGTTTCACACCTACTTAGGCAAAAATGATTCTATGCCTCATACATTTTGTGCAATGAAGATTGTTTAGGACTAAGAATGAATAGAAAGCCATATAATACAGTGTCACTCTGGTGTTTATAACATGCTCTCCCCCCCCCCCCTTTTTTTTTGTACAGATAGCTGCTGCTCTGTGGTGGTACTTTGTATCTAAAGGGGTTGAGTATTTGGACACCGTATTTTTTATCCTGAGGAAGAAAAACAACCAAGTCTCTTTCCTTCATGTATATCATCACTGTACAATGTTTACACTGTGGTGGATTGGAATTAAGTGGGTCGCCGGGGGACAAGGTGAGCATTTTCAGGAACATATCTGCATATATTAAGTTATATAAATGTGTTGTGTGGAAAAGTAATTATAAGCTGGAAATTTGACTTGGTCTTTAACTTACTTTCATGGTTAATTATTTCTGTGTTAATTTCATTTTAAAGAAATTTGAACAAAGTGAAGCTTTAGCTTTTTATCTGTCGCTACTTAAATTCCTAAAGATTTGTCTCAGAGATAAGCATAAACTAATCTTAAATGTGGCAAATGATATTTTGATAAGCAATTGTAGTTGTTCTGATTCAAAGGGTACTAAGCTGTAACTCCTGAGTTTGAAGGTTCCGTCTCCAGTCCAAGCCCAGAGCCCATTCCTGCTCTAAAACAGGCCTTAAATGAACCTGTTGGATCTTACTCAAAGGAAATCATATATAGCCTTGTTAAAGAGGATCTGGATTCACAGTTTGTCCAAGATCTGTCTTCAGCTTTTCAGATGTAGATTGAAGATGATTTACATCACTGAGCTGGAAACAGACTATTGCTGTGTTGGAGACCCAGGGTACAGGTTATTACAGTAGTACAGTTCACCTTCTATTTTCATTTAAAACTGTTAGGAAAGTAAGAAGTACGATTTTTTCGTAGATATATTTATGGGCACGTCTAAAGGCAATAATGAGGCTTTAAAAATCTACTTATACAATTACATGTACCATGACTTTTTTCCCCAAGCATGAAAAATAATATAGGTAGTAGTTCTATGTTAGGGCATACTGAAGCCACTGGGGTGCTCCATTTGGAACCTTGCCACTTTGAAAATCCTTTGCATTTGAAGAACACTCATTTTTTTAATATGCTAAAAGCCTGAGTCTAAACTTTAAAAATACCTAGCATGATTTGAAGAGAAATGTTTTCCGTTTTTTATTCCTAATCTGTACCCAAGATTAAATGTTAAAAAATAATGTGGATTCATTTGTTTTATGTTCAGATGGTTTATTGCCTACTAAAGTTTTCTGTATCTTGTGATTCTGTTTTTCTGAAGCATTTTTTGGAGCACAGCTGAATTCCTTCATCCATGTGATTATGTACTCATACTATGGGTTAACTGCATTTGGCCCATGGATTCAGAAATATCTTTGGTGGAAAAGATACTTGACCATGTTGCAGCTGGTGAGTGAAATGCTTCTAAAGTTTCTTGTGGTGAAACACTGAAAATGTTTGAATTTACTAATTTTAAATGCAGTTTTTTTTAATGTTTATTTATTTTAGAGAGAGACAGAGTGCGAATGGGGGAGGGGCAGAGAGAGGTTAGACACAGAATCCGAAGCAGGCTCCAAGCTCTGAGCTGTCAGCACAGAGTCCAACACGGGGCTTGAACTCATGAACTGCGAGATCATGACCTGAGCTGAAGTTGAACCTTAAATGACTGAGCCACCCAGGCACCCCTGAATTTACTAATTTTAAAGGGCTAAGTTATCCTCGACAACTTTCTGTTACAAAGTCGACTTTCTCTGTGCTCTAGATGTGGGAGTTGAGGCTGCTTAGCTCTGAGCTTCTTGTTCATAGACCTAGTTGTCACTGCCACTAACTTTTAAGATACTCTTAAAAGGCTAAACACAACTCTGGTCTCTCTAAGAGAAATGTTCGAAGTACACCATAAAGTACATAAACTCATATAGGACCAGAAAAATAGTTAACTTCTTTCTCAGGTGATTTTTTTCTAATTTAAAATGTTACTATTACCTCTCTTCATCCTGCCCTTGCTTGAATTTTGTTTTCTGTTCCATTTTTCAGTCCTTGTTAACAGAGCCCATACGTTTAGAGAATGAAAGTTGAGGAGAAGGTACAGAACCAAGGAAGGGGTGGGGTAAAGGAAAGGAATAAGGACAAGAGAACTCCTCTTAATTCCCTAACACATAGTCCTTAGAGAGCAAAGCTAGGTTTTTTCAAATGCTAGCCTTTAGAGGCAACAATTTTCAGCACATATGCCTAGTGGGACTTCTTGCAGCATCTGAATATATCAGTGAAACATTCAGAGAGAGGCGCTAGCCCAGTAATCAAACTGGAAATCCAACACCAACCTGATAGCTATTCTTCAAGCCTTGGAATTTATTATAATTTGCTGTAATCATAGCATGTACACAATTTATCAGTGGAATCACATTTGGAAATATTATTCATCTCTGCTTTAAGTTGCTAAACAGTTGGCTGGCCGAACAGGAAACACAACTTTTGGGGAATGCTGGGTGTGAAAGATTCATTTGTAACTAAAATGCTGCAGGAGGCTTCCTCCAGTTTATGTTTAAGCTGTTTATATTGTTTGTGTAATTCATTTTTCTCAGTCATCAGTAAATGGTCACAAGAAAATGAAGAGATGACAGAAGTCGTCTGAACTTTGTATCTATTTTGTTGGAGTCTTCACCACAGTCTCCTTGAGTGATGCCACACTTGATCACACCTATATACATACATACTCTTTTGGTGACATAGGTTCTAAGAACCAGTGTGAAATCAAAACTTCTGAAAATCTAGATTTTGTCCTAGAGAATTTAAAGTTCTTTAGTCTGATATAAATTTAGGGCTTACATGGAATAAATTATTTTAGTAATATTTATATAATAATTAACTTAGATAGTGCTGTGCTTAAAAGAGAAACCACAATTGCCCATTCCAAATAGGATGTTACTTTTGTGAAGAGCACATATTTTCAAGCCAGAAGTTCTCATAACAGTCAATCATATCAGTTAATCTTATAAAAAGCTAACCCTTGTTAACACTATGGAATTCATAATTCTTCTACTGAGAGTCATTCATTTATTGATATATTGGAATTTAAACTGATTTGCCTTATCTGAATTAAAAAGCTTCTTAATTTTTGGCTTTTCTTTTATTTTTATTCATTTATTTTATTTTAAAAATTTCTTTTTTTTTTAACATTTATTTTTGAGAGACAGAGACAGAACATGAGCAGGGGAGGGGGACAGAGGGAGAGGGTGACACAGAATCCAAAGCAGCCTCCAGGCTCTGAGCAGTTTGTCAGCACAGAGTCCAACACGGGGCTCAAACTCACGAGCTGCAAGACCACGATCTGAGCCGAAGTTGGACGCTTAACCAACTGAGCCACCCAGGCGCCCCTGGCTTTTCTTCTTTTAAAAACTTTCAAAGTTGGGGGTGCCTGGGTGGCTCAGTCGGTTGAGTGTCTGACTTCAGCTCAGGTCATGATCTCGTGGTTTGTGATGTTCGAGCCTCACATCGGGCTCTGTGCTAATAGCTCAGAGCATGGAGCCTGCTTTGGATTCTGTTTCCCTCTCTATCTGCCCCTCCTCCACTCACACTCTGTCTCTCTCTCTCTCTCACTGTCTATCAAAAATAAACATTAAAAAAAATTTAAAAACTTTTAAAGTTGAAAGTGATTCTCTCTTTTTGCACTTATTCTCAAATATCTACTAAATTTTACTAAAAATCTTGGTTTGTAAAGGATAGTGTTAATTCAAATGCAGTTTTACCTGTGTGCTATTTTGTAAGAAATAAAAAACCCTTTTGGTAGTTTCAATTTTAAAAGGATTTGTACCAGCTTACAGTTTTGTGGAAAGAAATTAGTTAAAATGTGAGAGGAAAACAAATATCAAAAAGGGCATACGGTACCATTTACTTTATTCTGTTAGGCCATTGATATTCCCTCTCATTGATAACATTATTCAGCATTATCCAACAAATACTCATTGAATCCAGACCCTGTGCCAAGGACTCAGGAATCCTCAGGGAGCAGCACATAGCCTTACCCTCTGGAGTTATATACTAGTGGAAAGATGGAAAACCAAGAAGTTAAGAATTCCAGATAGGTTTAATTGTTTTAAAGAAAAAAGTGCACACAAAACAAAAACCCTGATGAATGGGATAGAGAGGGCCAGCTGGATGGAGGTACTTTGTACCAGCAGGAAAAACAACAAAAAAAGTCAGGAAAAGAAAAAGAAAAAAAAACAAAAAGGCAGGAAGCCCTTCCTGAGGGAAGGAGAGGGAGCTGGAGTTGGGTGTGGGAGCCCGAGAGCTATTAAACTTTGAACAGTGTGGCAAGATTAGACCCTATCTTAGCCAGGCAGAGGATTCTGGTGTTGTTAAAAGTTATTTACTATTGGGGCGCTGGGTGGCTTGGTCGGTTAAGCGTCCGACTTCGGCTCAGGTCATGATCTCGCAGTTCGTGAGTTCGAGCCCCGCGTCGGGCTCTGTGCTGACAGCTCAGAGCCTGGAGCCCGTTTCAGATTCTGTGTCTCCCTCTCTCTCTGCCCCTCCCCTGTTCATGCTCTGTCTCTCTCTGTCTCAAAAAGAAATAAACGTTAAAAAAAAAAATTAAAAAAAAAAAGTTATTTACTATTTGCAGTAAATGTATCCTGCATCGTGGTTTTGTTTTGTTTTTCAGGTTCAGTTCCACGTGACCATCGGGCACACAGCGCTCTCTCTGTACACTGATTGCCCCTTCCCCAAATGGATGCACTGGGCTCTCATTGCCTACGCAATCAGCTTCATATTTCTCTTTCTTAACTTCTATGTTCGGACATACAAAGAGCCTAAGAAAGCAAAAGCTGGAAAAACAGCTGTGAATGGTATTTCAGCAAATGGTGTGAGCAAATCAGAGAAACAACTAGTAATAGAAAATGGAAAAAAGCAGAAAAATGGAAAAGCAAAAGGAGAGTAAATTGAACTGGGCCTTAACTGTTGTTGACAGTGAGGAAGCTCCCATTTCATATAAAATTTCAGGGAAAAAGAAGCAAATGAGGGTTTGGGGTGGGGAGAAAAAGACAAATGTGCTCTATGTATTAGTAACCTTTAGATAGAGTAAAGTGTTAAATACAATATCTGGATGTTTTATTTATGAAGTTTTATTTTAAACATTTTTTTTATTAGCCTTGATGTTGTCCAGACCAAAGCAATCATTATGTGACTTGGGAGGCTCTCCCTCTGTTCACATCTGTTGTCTAATGCATGAGATTGTTCATGTATCTTATATACAGTCATTCTTCAGTCTGATGATCACAGAAACACAGTATGAATTTTTTGGCTAAATTATTATCGCCTACTGATGAAAATCAGTTATCTAACATTTTCTGGTCCAAAGCTGGAACTGTAGATACTTTAAAATTTGCACATTTGGATTCATTTGCTGACTGGAATGGTCGAATCTCTCCACCTCTAGTCTGAATATACCCTTTTGGTTGTAATTAAATTAAAAAAACCTGATGATCTCTGTAGACTCTTAGAGGCTTGATGATGATGGTGTTGGTGAAAATAAGAAAGAATTACAGTAAAAGCCTGTCTAGCGACCCAAAGGTCACCATGACTTGCGGCACAAATCACTGTGGGAAACAATTTTTGTGATGAAAAGGCAGCCTTTTAATACTCTTGTTACTATCAGAAATACATTATGAAAATTAAGATTATTGTCTGATTGGAACATGAAACAACTCATGTCTTTATTAGTAACATCACAAAAGAGTTACACTTATGTGCTGTTAGAAGAGAGTATGTTGATTTTTATCAGGCTTTCCTTGTTTTGATTTGTGGCTGTTACCGATTTTTCATATGTGGAAATATACCTACCTCTTATGTTGGAAAGAACATTTAAAATTAAATAAATTTTAATTAAAAAATCAAGGAGTCCTCTAATGTAAATTTTAATAACTTTCGAATCCGCTAGTATTTTTTTTGCGTTTTTTACAAATAGCATACACCCAATTTTTCGTGAAACGATCCTTCTCTTTCAATGTGTTTAATTTTGGAGTGATATTTTCCTTGTGACAAAGTTGCAAGATCTTATTTATTAACTAGATATGAAGTATATACCCATCTTGGGGCAATATTCTTGACTCCTTGGTGCTAAAGATCATTAAATTTAGTGTGTGATTGTTATAAGGTGTTAATTGTTGACACAAAATGAATAAAAGTAAGAGTAGTCAGAACCAGAAAATTAAATTTGCTGTTGACAAATAAAGTGTTTTATGTAATATAAATGAGCAACTGGAAATAGACTAGGAAAGAGACTTGTACATTGTCTTATTGCATAGGTTGAATTGGTAGGGGATGTTGACCAGGGATCATTATTGAAAGAGAAAATGTGACAAAAGAAAAAAAAAAGCATGAATATTTTAACTATCTCAACATGTCAAAACTGCATGGTGCAGGATGTATGCTGTTTGTGCAGACAAACTATTTCAGAATATTTTGTAAACTATAACATATTTATTGTGCATTAAAGTTACCCACTTTTTCCCCCAAAGGCATGCAGTCATGAGAAATACAGAATATTTGCAAAACTTATAACAGTTTGGCCTGAGAGGATTCAACACCTTTGTCTTTGCTGCTTGGTGTGGAATGACTGGAGACTTGTAAATCTTTGTGAACATTCTGTACTGCTTCCCCAGACCTATTCATTCCCCGCTACCTGATTTCAGCACAATAAATATACTACTGCTGTGGGAAAAAATGATTTTTTTCTGTTAATCAGTTTATTACGTAAATTATCTGCTAAATATTTATTTGATTCAGTTGTTAGTATTCTGAATTCTCTTCCACTGCCAATTACTAATGTAGAAAAGAAGTGAAATTGGAACTTGGGTGCCTAAAACTTCTGGTGAAAAGCTTCTTTTTTTATGGTGGCATTTTTTACTGTAAAAATTAGTTGCCTTTGGAAGAGCTTTTGGATCCAGACATAAACCATACCATTTTCTTCTAAATGATCCTTCCATTTGTTGCTTCAAATGTTAGCTTAACACTTTTTCATGCTGTGGGGTTTTTTGGTTCCAAAAATAAAGTGGAGGAGCTCTTGTGTTCTTACATTAGATCATTCAGCTCTTTCTACACTTTATAAGATTCCTTATCTAGGATGACTTTAAGATGTGATGTGCAGCCGTTCTGGTAGCTTTCCTAATTTCTCAGTCATCACACTGAGTTGCATGCCTCATACCTAAAATCAGAGGAGGAGGATTGCATCCTCTTCTGAGTAAAACTTTGTCACTAACGAAAGAAATGTTTTCTTACGCAAAAAACAGAAGTTTTTAATGTTTGCAGTGGCTAGCAATACCTTAGGCATGTGACAGTGCATTTTCCTAGTATAATCAGTGACTGCATCTCTTCTTTTTTCTCTTTTCTGTGATACTCTTGACTCTGTTTTTCTGATGGACACTGACTGATGACTAGTTTCAGTTGTAGCACCATTAATTTAGTCATTCTCTGTTTCTCCCCACACGCTTCCTAGGTATTCAAAAATATTTTCATAATGGATTTTTACATTCACATCTTAGAACATGGAATGTAGTGTTTGTAGTTTATTAGGAACATTTTAACTCACAGATTTATTCCATGTATGCAATTCATATGTGAAATGAAAGAGAACATAGAGGTGGAAGTGATTTTTGCTGCCCGGTCCATCTGATAATACAACAATCCAGGCATTACATATTGACAGTTGGGACCCGACTTTTGAATCTCACCTTGATGAGAATGTGACAGCATGCCGAACTGTCCCGCTCTCTCAGCTCTTGCCTTGTTGTAGCCTGAAGTTCGGCCAGCTGAATTCCTGGCACTGTCCTTATCGAGAAAAAGACGGCTACAGACTGTGTAGGAGGGCAAGTGCTTACTACAGACCTGCGTGACAGACTGGGATCCTGCTGGATGGTGGCTAAGGCTGCAGAGCTGAGGTGCTGAGCTACTCCCCCAGGAACATAACACCCGCCTAATAGATGGTTCACCTGCCCCTCAGCATGCAAGCAGTTTTGGCAAATCACCTTGGAAAGCAAGTTCTTAATAGTGTATTTTAGAACCCATGCTTAAGCTTTGGTATTTTAGGCTGATGCTATCTGAACCAGAAAAATAGTTATGAAAAGGCAGAGAAGTGTAAGCAAATTCATTGTTTTAAAACACTACAGATCATGTAAGTATTAGAAGTTAGTTTTCCTAATTCTCTCTGGAATTTCCTAATTTCCCTCCTAAATTATAGAGGGAAGGCACACCTGTTAAGTTTAAAAATAGGAGGCTATAACACAACTATGTTCCTGAAGGGGATTCAAAGGGATATGTTAAAAATTATAATTGACATATAGAACTATTACCAGATGAAGACTAAGATTCTAAGATTCTAGAATATATCACTAAAAGAGTATGTGAGTTATGAAGAAGGTGGTCAACAGCTGTCTTTAGATGGCGATTCGTTAATGGGAGTTTTAGGTTTGTAAAGGATGATATGAGATACAACTTGGTATTCTTTTGCACTTATAACTCTAGGTTTTCCTTTGAGAAAATAAGCTTTTTTCTACCTGTTAAAAAAAAAAAAGGCCTAGAACTTAGGTCTTTTCTCTTTGTCTTTTTCATTTTACCACATGAAAGCATGTTTACATGTCCACACGTGAACAAATTTCCTTCATGCTTTTATTCCTTCAAGATCCATCTGGTCTTAAATAGAAATCCAACAGAAGCTTTTTCTCTTTTTCTCCTTCTCACAGGTGAGGTTCTCCAAAGGATTGTGTCCTTAAAGTAGTATCTCCTTTGAGAATAAATACATGCTGAAACACATCACTTGATAACTATCTACCTAATTATAATAATCTCATGCAGCTATCAGAAGGTCACATTGTAATCAAACATCTACACAGGACATACACAGAGAATATGTCCAAATTAAAAGCCATTCTAAAACTAAAAAATCTTGGAAGGTTTAAATAATCTAGCCATTTCTAAAAAGATAGGGTCTGGATATTATTGGATATTTCCCAATTTAAATACAAGACTATGAGTTGTAAAGAGAATTTGTCAGTCCTCATGCATATTCTGTATACTCTATCAGTCTCCAGGAACCCCTGGATCCCTTTTCTGCAATTTTAGAGAAGCCAGTTAGGTTACTCCTTTCCTCAGTTTTAAAATTTTTCTTTGAATTTGCCTTTGGGAAAAAGCATCCAATTGAAATTCCTTCTTTGTCATCCCTGATGCATCATATTTAAACTGAGTTTCTCCTCCCTGTGAGGAAGCTATCCTAAGAACCAGTCTTTCAAGAATAATGATTAGTTAGCTATTTGGTAATGAGAGGGTGATAGGTTATGAGTCTTGCACAGGAGGTAGCATTATGTTAGTGACACTCATACCTCACCTTTGAAAGTGGCTTGTGTTCTAATTTTTTAATAAATCTGGGAATCAAATACAACATTTACATTTTTATAAGCATATTATATAGTTAGGGTATATCAGTTGTACATATACGGTTAGATTTTAAATATTTTTTGAGGTCAGTCCTCACAGTGATAATGTAATAAAGATGTCATATGGTCACAAAAGAACAAATAGCTGTGCTTCAAAGCTATTTTTATTCACCAACATTTAAGTGTTTTCGTTATGTTTGAATTATTACTGTCAGCCCTTATGAAAGTGGGGTCTGGTCTTTTTTTCAGAAAGAAAAGGAGTATGGGAACACATTTCTAATTTCTAATTGTATTTGAGATTTTGAGTTTATATCTTAGAATCTACCCTAAATACTACCTGAGAAATCCAGCAACCATCTTTAGATTAGTGTGCTAGATATTTATTGGTTCTATGAATCCATTTCTATCCCCTCAATACATCTCCCTCTTTCCCTCCCCCGGTCTAAAGAACTAAAAATTACACTTCTCAGATTCCCTCACAAATTTAGGTTTTATCAACATGCAGCACTCG